TGTCAATCCATAATTCTACATCCAGCCAAAACACCCTTCAAGAATGAAGACAAGTGCTCACTGTCTAAAATTGGAACATATACTAAAATTGGAACAATACAGAGAAGATTAGCATGGCTCCTGTGTAAGGATGACATGCAAATTTGTGAAGGGTTTCATATTTTTTTTATAACACAAAGGATAAATGCTTGAGGGGATGGATACCCCATTCACTCTGATATGATTATTACACATCATATGCCTGTATCAAAATATCTGATGTAGCCCATAAACATATATACCTACTATTTATCCATAAAAATAAAAATTAAAAAAAAGAAGATGAAATTTTAAAATTATCAGGTGAAGGAAAATTAAGAGATTTTTGTCAGCAGCAAACTTCCAAGAGAAATGCTGTAGGTTCTTCTTCAGGTGAAGGGAGATGATATCAGAGGGAAACATGGAACTTTAGGTATAAATGAGGAGCAACAGAAATGGCAAAATATCTGGGTAAATGTAATGGATAATTTTTCTCCTTTTGAATTCTTTAAGATATATATGATAGTTGAAAGCAAAAAAATATAACACTGTCTGGGGGATTTAAAATGTTATGTAGATGTAATATGTTCAAAAACTGTAACATAAAAGAAATTAAAGACATCTATACTGTTGTAAAGCTTCTATATATTACTTGAACTATTAAACTGTAAGTAGAATGTGAAAGGTTCTATGTGACTATCTTAGTGTCTACAGCAGCCACTGATTTTAAAAAATAACAACCAGGCATGACATCACACACCTGTAGTCCAAGCTACTTGGGACAGTAAGGCAAGAGGATTGCTTGTGCCCAGGAGCTCAAGACCAGCATGGGCAACATAGTGAGACCCCTATCTTAAAAAATAAATAAATAGGGCCAGACACAGTGGTTCACGCCTGTAATCCCAGCACTTTGGGAAGCCAAGGCAGGTGGATCACCTGAGGTCAGGAGTTCAAGATCAGCCTGACCAATATGGTGAAACCTCGTCTATACTAAAAATACAAAACTTAGCTGGGCGTAGTGCTGTGCGCCTGTAGTCCCAGCTACTCAGGAGGCTGAGACAGGAGAAACGCTTGAACCCAGGAGGCAGAGGTTGCAGTGAGCCGAAATCGCACCACTGCACTTCAGCCTGGGCAACAGAGCAGGACACCATCTCAAATAAATACATAGATAGATTAGATAGATAGATAGACAGACAGACAGACAGATAGATAGGCCGGGTGTGGTGGCTCACGCCTGGAATCCCAGCACTTTGGGAGGCTGAGGTGGGCAGATCACTTCAGGTCAGGAGTTTGAGACCAGCCTGGCTAACATGGTGAAACCCCATCTCGACTAAAAATACAAAAATTAGCTGGGTATGGCAGTGTGCACCTGTAGTCCCAGCTACTCGGGGGGCTGGTGCAGGAGAATCGCTTGAACCAGGATGGTGGCGCTTACAGTGAGCCAAGATCGCGCCACTGCACTCCAGCCTGGGTGACAGAGCAACTCATTCTCAAAAGAAAAACAATAAATAAATAAATAAAATTTAATTTAAAAACGAGACAGTGACCAAAAGAGGAACGTTTAAAATATAATATTTATATTATAATTGCACTCCTGGAAATTCATCCCAGAGAAATAAAAACTTATTATAAAAACCTACACAGAAATGTTTGTAGCAAATTTATTTGTAATAGCCCAATACTGGATACAACCTAGATGTCCTTCAATAGGGGAATGGTTAAACAAACATGCATACCATGGAATGCTACTCAGCAATAAAAAGAATCAAGCTTGATACATACAACAACCTGAATGAATCTCTGGAGTATTATGCTGAGTGAGAAAGAACTAATCCCTTACGGATATATACAGTATGATTCCATTATATAGCATTTTTCAAATGACAAAATCATAGAAACAGATAACAGATTATTAGTTACCAGGCTATAAGACGAGATGGACTGGGAGAAAATTGGTATGACTATAAAAGAGTGACGGCCAGGCGTGCTGTCTCACGCCTGTAATCCCAGCACTTTGGGAGGCCGAGGCAGGCGGATCACTTGAGATGTGGAGTTCGAGATCAGCCTGGCCAATATGGTGAAATCCCGTCCTCTACTAAAATACAAAAATTAGCCAGGCATGGTGGCGGGCGCCTGTAATCCCAGCTACTCGGGAGGCTGAGACAGGAGAATCGCTTGAACCCAGGAGGCAAAGGTTGCAGTGAGACCAGATCACGCCATTGCACTCCAGCCTGGGCCACAGCGTGAGACGCCATCTCAAAAATAAATAAATAAACAAATAAATAAATAATAAAAAGAGTGACATGAGGGATCCTTGCAGTGATAGAAATGCTCCATATTTGATCTGTATAGATGTCAATATCCTGGTTGGGATACTGTACTACAGTTTGCAAGATGTTACCTACCAATGGGGGGAACTGGATAAAGGGTACATTACAATCTCTTGGTATTATTTCTTACAAGTGCATGAGGATGTATAATAATCTCAAAACAAAAAGTTTAAGAAAGTATTTGGGGGGAGGGGGAGGGATAGCATTAGGAGATATACCTAATGTAAATGACAAGTTAACAGGTGCAGCACACCAACATGGCATATATAACAAACCTGCACATTGTGCACATGTACCCTAGAACTTAAAGTATAATAAAGTAAAAAAAAAAAAAAGAAAATATTCAAACGTTCCAAAGAAGAGAGGAATGAGAGAGTAGAATAAAAACAATCAGAAAAAGGGGGACAAAGAAGAAAGAAATAATAAAATGGTAGACCTACATCCAACAATGTCAATAATTACAAAAACACGTCAATTAAAAGGCAGATTGTCAGTTGAGATTTAAAACACAAGATTCAACTATATCATGTCTACAAGAAACCCAATTTAAATATAAAGAATCTCTGTTCAACAAGAGACACAAGAAAGACAGTGAAAAGACAATCGAGACTGGGCACAGTGGCTCATGACTCTAATCCCAGCACTTTGGGAGGCCGAGGTGGGCAGATTGCCTGAGCTCAGGAGTTCGAGACCAGCCTGGGCAACATGGTGAAATCCCATCTCTACTAAAATACAAAAAATTAGCTGGGTGTGGTGGTGCACGCCTGTAATCCCAGCTACTTGGGAGGCTGAGGTGGAAGAATTGCTTGAGCCCGGTAGGTGGAGGTTGCCCGGGAGGTGGAGGTTGCAGTGAGCCAAGATCACACCACTGCACTCCAGCCTGGGTGACAAAGCGAGACTCTGTCTCAAAGAAAAATAAAAAAAAAAAAGACAATCTAACAAAGGGACAGTATACTTGCAATAAAGTATTAATATGTACTCTACTGAAAATAGTGCCACCAGGCATGGTGGCTCATGCCTGTAATCCTAACACTTTGGGAGACTGAGGCAGGTGGATCGCTTCAGCCCAGGAGTTTGAGACCAATCTGGGCAACATGACTAAACCCCATCTCTACAAAAAAATACAAATATTAGCTGGGTGTGGTGGTGCATGCCTGTAGTACCAGATACTCAGGATGCTGAGGAAGTATGATCACTTGAGCCCAAGGAGGTTGAGGCTGCAGTGAGTCATGATTTCCTGGGCAACAAACTGAGACACTGTCAAAAAAAAAAAAAAAAAAAAAAAAGAGAAAAGAAAAGAAAGAAAGAAGTACTATGGGCCAGGCACAGTGGTTCACGCCTGTCATCCCAGTACTTTGGGAGGCCAAGAGGGGGGTGGATCACCTGAGGTCAGGAGTTCAAGACCAGCCTGGCTGACATGGCAAAATCCCATCTCTACTAAAAATACAAAAATTAGCCAGGTATGGTGGCACATACCTGCAATCCCAACTACTCGGGAGGCTGAGGCAGGAGAACGGCTTCAACCCAGGAGGCAGAGGTTGCAGTGAGCTGAGATCTCCCCACTGCACTCTACCCTGGGTGACAGAGCAAGACTCTGTCTCAAAAAAAAAAATAAAAAAATTTAAAAAAAGAAAGAAAATAGTGCTATGAATAAGTAGGAGGAAGACACATACCATAAGAAAAAAAAGAGTTGAAGACTTACGCAGGCGCTGTGTAAGATTTACACAAGTCACTCAAGTTCTCTATAAAATATGAAATGAGGATCAATTACATTACTAATCAAGGAAACGAAAGTTTCAATCACAATAAGATACTAATACACACCTACCAGAATGGGAACAAATAATAGTCTGACAAGCAGAAGTGGCACAGAGGGAGCATCTACAAATGCTTTACAAACCAACAACATCACAAACAACATTTGGCCTTATCTATAAGTTATTCACACCTCCAGAACCCAGACACTACAACCTAGGTATATACATTAGTAAAGCTCTCACAGCAAATGTTCCTAGCAGACATGTAAAATAATGGCAGTATTATCATTAGCTGTACGAGCCTTAAAACGGAAACAACCCAAACTCCATCAAGAGAGTAAATACTGGCTGAGTGCAGTGGCTGACACCAGTAATCCCACATTTTAGGAGGCCAAGACAGGAGGATTTCTTGAGGCCAAGAGTTCAAAACCAGCCTGGGTGATATAATGAGACTCCATCTCTACATGAAAAATAAGAATAGCTGAGCACAATGGCACATGCCTATAGTACTGTCTACTCAGGAGGCTGAGGCAGGAGGCTTGCTTAAGCCCAGGAATTCAAGCCTGCAATGAGCTATGATCACACCACTGCACTCCAGCCTAGGTAGCAGAGTAAGACCCTGTTTCTAAAAAATAAATAATTTAAAAGACAGAAGAGTAGGTACTTTTAATTGTGTGATACCCAAACTAGAACACTATTCTGCAATGAAAATAAACATCATGGCTGAATCTCACAACTATAATAGTGAATAAAAGAAACAAGTCACAAAATAATTCATACAGATGATTCTGTTTTCATAAAGCTCAAAGAAGAAAAAGTTCAAACTAAACCATATATTGCCTGTGGATATAAATATAGACAGCAGAAGCTCTAACAAAAATCTTAAAATAATTACCTCCGAATTTGGGATACAGGTTACATCCAGGAGAGAGGTAGGAGGATGCAATCTGGAAGGGGCAGAGTCGTAGTTCGCAACCTGAATGGTGATTATCCAGGTGTTAGCTATATATGTCTTCTGAAAAGTATGCATGTGTTCTAAATGCTCTTCTGTATGCAAGATATATTAATCAATAAGGATTTCTATCTCAAAGAAATAGAAAATGAAAAATACAAAAATAAACACAATCAAAAGTTGGTTCTGTGAAAAGATTAATACAATGGATAAATCTTAAGTCAGACTGATCGAGAAAAAACATACATTATCAATATCAGGAGAACAATATTACAGATCCTACAAATATTAAAAAATAATAAGGAAATCTTATGAAAAAAACTTTATCTTATTTTATTTATTTATTTATTTAGAGACGAAGTCTCACTCTGTTGCCTAAGCTAGAGTGCAGTGGCATGATCTTGGCTCACTGCAACCTCCGCCTCCTGGTTTCAGGCGATTCTCCTGCCTCAGCCTCCCGAGTAGCCAAGACTACAGGCACATGCCACCATGCCCAGCTAATTTTTGTATTTTTAGTAGAGATAGGGTTTCACCATGTTGGCCAGGCTGGTCTTGAACTCCTGACCTCGAGATCCGCCCACCTCGGCCTCCCAAAGTGCTGGGATTACAGGCATGAGCCACCCCGCCTGGCCAAAAAAAACTTTATATCAAAAACTTGATAGTTTAGATGAGACAAATTCCTTCAAGGCCACAAACCACCAAAGCTTGCTCAAGAAGAAAACAGTTATCTGAATATACCTATAATTATAAAAAAAAAAAAACGAATTTGTAGCCGGGCGTGGTAGCTCATACCTCTAATCCCAGCACTTTGAGAGGCTGAGGCTGGTAAGATCACCTGACGTCAGGAGTCTGAGACCACCCTGGCCAACATGGTGAAACCCTGTCTCTACTAAAAACACAAAAATTAGCTGGGCATAGTGGTGTTTGCCTGTAATCCCACTTACTCAGGAGGCTGAAGCAGGAGAATTGCTTAAACCCAGGAGGCGGAGGTTGTGGTGAGCCAAGATCGCGCCATTGTACTCCAGCTTGGGCAACAAGAGCGAAACTCCATCTCCGTCTCAAAAAAAAAAAAAAAAAAAAAAAAAAAAGGATTTGTAGTTCAAAACTTCCCCTCAAAGAAAATGCTAGGCCCAGATGTCTTCACTGATGAACTCTACAAAACATTTAAGAAATAATGCTAGTCCTATATAAATTTCAGAAAACAGAAGAGGAGGAAACACTTCCCAACTCATTTTATGAGGCCAGCATAACCCTGACGTCAAAACCAGACACAAACAGTGTAAGTGAAGAAAACTACAAACAATTATGACACATAAACATAGATGCAAAATAATAAAGTATGAGCAAAAATAAATAGAAGCATATCAAACGAATGACTGATCATTATCAAGTGGGGTTTACACAGGTAATGGAAAGGCTGGTTCAATATCTGCAAATTGGCTAGGCATGGTGGCTCACACCTGTAATCCCAGCACTTTGTGAGACTGAGGCAGGTGGATCACCTGAGGTCAGGGGAGTTTGAGACCAGCCTGACCAACATGGAGAAACCCCATCTCTACTAAAAAAAATGCATGCACACACACACACACACACACACACACAAATATTAGCATGGGATTAGCATTGAGATAAAATTTAAGAAGATCTAAATAGAGACACATGCTATTCATTAATTGGAAGACTCAATACTGTCAGTATATCAATGATCCACAGATTCAGTGTAATCCCATACAAAAATCCCTGCGGGCTTTTGTGTACAAATTCACAAGCTGATTCTAAGATTTATATAAAAATACCAAGGACCTAGAATTAGGAAAGGAAGAGCAAAGTTGGAAAATTCATATTTCTTGATTTGAACACTTAACATTAGGCTACAGTAATTAAACAGTGTATTACTGATGTATAGACAGACGCATCTCTGTTCAACTGTTTGGTTTTTTTTGAGACAGGGTCTTGCTGTACCCCAGGCTGGAGTGGCAGTGGCGTGATCACGGCTCACTGCAGCCTCGTCCTCTCGTGCTCAAGCAATCCTCCCACCTCAACCTCCCAAGTAGTGGAGACTACAAGTGCATGCCATCATGCTTGGCAAATTTTTAAAATATTTTGTAGAGACAGGGGCTCACTATGTTGCCTAGGCTAGTCTCAAGCTCCCAGGCTCAACTGATCCTCCCACCTCAGCCTCCCAAAGTGCTGGGATTACAAATGTGAGTCGTTGTGCCTGGCCATTCAAAGGTTATCAGCAACGATGGCAAAGTAAGTCAACAACAACAACAAAAACAAAAACAGTGTTTTCAAAAATGCTGCGCTGGAAAAATTGGATATACATATGCAAAAAAACCCCTGACCCTCACCTCATGTCAGATTTACAAACTTAACTCATTCTTCGTCATAGGTCTAAATTTAAGAGCTAAAATTATAAATCTTCTGAAAGAAGACATAGGAGAAAATCTCCATTGCTCTGAGTCAGAGATTTGTTAGATAGGATACAAAAAGCATGAACCATAAAAGAACTTGATAAACTGGGCCTTATCAAAATTAAAAACGTCTACTCTACACAGCACAGTTGAGAAAAAAAGAAGCCATAACCTGGGAGTACATAGTTAAAGGACTTGCATCAAGAATATAGAAAGAACCAGCCGGACGCAGTAGCTCACGCCTGTAATCCCAGCACTCCGGGAGGCTGAGGAGGGTGGATCACCTGAGGTCAGGAGTTCGAGACCAGCCTGGCCAACATGGCGAAACCAAAATACTAAAAATACAAAAATTAGCTGGGCATGGTGGCGTGTGCCTGTAACCCCAGCTACTCGGGAGGCTGAGGCAGGAGACTTGCTTGAACCCAGGAGGCGAGGTTGCAGTGAGCCAAGATTGCACCGCTGCACTCCAGTCTGGGGAACAGAGCGAGACTCCATCTCAAAAAAATATATAAAGAACCTTACAATTTAATAGCAAAGAAAAATGGCAAAAGATTACAACAAATACTTCCATAAAGAAGATATAAAGAAGATATAAAGATGGCAAATAAGGGCTCAACAATATTCATCATTAGAGAAACACAAAATTAAATCACAATGAGATCCTCCTATACACCTACTAGAAAAAAAGGACTAACACTAACAACACCAAGTGCTTGCAAGAAGCTCGCGTACATTGCTAGTGGAAAAAAAACGTGCTATAGCCACGTTGGAAAACAGTTTAGCAGTGTTTGATGAAGTATTCCGCCCTGGGAATAATGTTCTCTCAAGTTTATTTTTGAATAAATAAAGAGATAATATAAAAAACAAGAGTTGAGTGGGAGGAAGGTACTGAAAAGATGAGGACTCTGAAAACAGGTGGTATCAAGTCAGATTTGTAAGAGTCTGAGAAGGAATAAGAAGAGAAAATAGAAAACAGTGTGAGGTTTACAGTGTTTACCACAAATAAGAGCAGGCAAGAACATGGTGGGTACCAGGCTGGGTAGAGCAAAGGTCACTAGCAAAGTTTTGTTGCCTATACCAACTCCAAAAAATAATGTATGATAATTTCCTTGAGTCTAAAAAATAAAAGACTCCAACTTTCAGCCTGAAAGGGCCCACAGTATGCCCAGTAAAGAGGAAATGCTGACATTTGCATCTACTCTGGTAAAAATATATAAGCACAAGAAGGGAGAATAAGTCTTAAAAGCTTCCAGAAAGGTGGTGGGAGAGGAATGAGAAGAGGCTTGGCACTTCTCACTAACAAGCCAGGAGGCTGGAAGGTAGAAATGGGATCTCAGAACAAGAGTGGCCACAATTTATGGGAACGCCAAGCAAAGAACGCAGAGACTGTAACTGGCGGCCAGGCAGAGGCCTCATTTGGACATGACAACAGTTCCGCTCATCAGAGGCTAGGCATGTCCACAAGTCCGGGGCTCTCAGAAGAGCTCCTGAGCTCATCCCAGAGGCCAAGCTGTCACCAACCAACCTGGTCTCCTTTCCCCGGCCTGACTCACCTGGCCTGTCCTCACCTGCACAGGTCCGTACCGGGGTCCCTCCATCTGCCATCCAGGACTCTTCTCCTGGTCCCAACCTGAAGATCACATCTGGCTTCGCAACTAGATACCCTGTTCAGGGGACATGACATAGGACTTCGTTATTAACGCTGAGGAATTCCAGAACCTAGGCCCACCCCTGCAGGCTGAAGGTGGCACGGCCTCGGGGATGGCCCCAAGCACACAGCTATCTGCCCCTCAGTACAGAACATTCACATAGCAAGCAAGGGCACCAATATGCTCTCCAGAGTCCAACGGGGACTACGAATACTGCACAGTGGGTTGTAACCCAAACTCACTGAGGGTGGTAACCCACACTCATTGTTCCCAGGCCCCGGAGCTTGGAGCAGCTGAGAAAGAAACACAGTACTGGGGGCATTCTGCATCACCCCGTGGCGCGGTCCCTCACCCACGGACACCAGGTGGCTGTAGTTCTCAAGCATGACATCCCTGTAGAGGTTCTTCTGGGCAGAGTCCAGTTGCTGCCACTCCTCCAGGGTGAAGTCCACAAACACGTCCTTGAAGGTCAATGATTCCTGTAATGGCACATTCCTCTTTAGCATGCCAGGACCAGCCTGGGGCACCGGGACATGGCACCTCACGCACATGGAGGGCTTACTCTGTGCCCTCTAGGAGAAACTTGACAGATGAAGAGTGTGAGGCGCACAGAGCCTAAGTAACTAGCCCAGGTCACACAGCCAGGAATGAGGGAGTCGAATCCATGTGGTCTGGCTCCCGCATCCACACTGGCCTTTGCTTTTTTTTTTTTTTTTTTTTTGAGATTGAGTCTTGCTCTGTCACCCAGGCTGGAGTGCAGTGGCGTAATCTCGGCTCACTGCAACCTCTGCCTCCCGGGTTCAAGCAATTCTCCTGCTTCAGCCTCCAGAGTTGCTGGGACTACAGGAGCCCACCACCATGCCCGGCTAATTTTTGTATTTTTAGTACAGACGGGGTTTCACCATGTTGGCCAGGCTGGTCTCGAACCCCTGACCTTGTGATCTGCCCACCTTGGCCTCCCAAAGTGCTGGGATTACAGGCGTGAGCCATCGTGCCTGGCCTGGCCTTTCTTATATAATTGTTCTTATGCCAGTCACTCGTCAGTTTGGCATAGTATATTACATAGAGTATCTATATGACTAAAATCATTTTGAACTTTATAGGAGAAACAGACAGGGTATGAGAAATATCTCACCCTGGAAATTCATTCATTCAACACATGTTTACTGAATAGAGGCCAGGCTGGTAAGTCCTGTGAAGTAAAGACTGATACAAAACTACACCTCTTGAACTCAAGGAGCTTCAGTTTAGTGGAGGGAGAAAAGCGGCACTTACACACTCATAGATGAAACTGAGGCAGCGAGGAAGCCTGCCTCACAGGGACAGTGACAGATGTAGGACAGGGTCCGGGTGGTCCACAAAGGAGGAAGTCAGTCCTGCCTGGGGCTGACAGAGCAGGCTTTGCAGGGGACACAGAGCTACAACGAACAGTTCTAAACATAGCTAATCAATCATGACAAACCGTTCTAACCTTCGCTCATCAATCATGAAACAAAAACAGGAAGCCAGAGGTCTGTGGCCCGGGCAGCTGACTGAGGCAAAAGGGGAAAGGTCTGTGCTTGGCCTTGTCACCACCAAACAAGAACTCACTTCTACGAGGGCCCCAATTCCTCGCAAAGACTAATAACCCACCTGTTTCTGCTCCAGATCCCATCCTGTCACACCCACACTTGGTGGCCTTCAATTCAAGCCACTCGTTGTACCCGTAAGGCCCAAATCAGCCACAGTGGCACTAGTTTACCCAGCTGTGCAGGAGAGGGGACAGGAAAGCCAGCCTGCCAGAGGGCGGTGACAGGCAGGTTTCTCCAGCAGGAGGGCTTCTCAGAGCAATCCAGGAGCTGTTAGCCCAACCTGCCCCTCCCTCGTGAGAGCTCCACTGCCAGGGAACAAAACCACACTGCTGAGTGCTAGGATGAAACAAATGTTGCTTGGAAGCTCTAACCTGTTCCATAGACCAATATCTCTTGTAATGGTCCCAGTGGCATGGCTTCCAGGGTCCCAGCAAAAGATGTGCCCAGTTACATATCACTGAGTGACAATGTGCCCAGAAAACCCCAATCCATGGCTTCCTACCAGCCAGTCAGAGTTTACTCAGTCCTCCAGTCCAGATGCAGTTTGTTTACCAATCCAGAGTCATTTTTATCTGGAGTAATGTCACCTGGTTTGATATTGTGAAATACATATTTGGTTTTTGTCCTGTCTCCTGGCAAAAGCTCCTGCAACCCTTGGAATAAACTCTGAAGTGATCCAAGTCTCTTTTATATGCTAATGAGATGACTGGTGACTGGCTGCCCCTAGGTAGCTTCCAGATGAGAGCTGGTCACCAGAAAACCAGACAGGATTAGAGGGTTGAGAATTTCATCTCCATCCTCAAAACTCCTGGGAGGGGAGAGAAGATGAAGGCTGAGTTGACTACCAAGGGCCAATGATGATCATGCCTCTGTGATGAAGCCTCCATAAAAACCCCACTGTGGCTGGGTGTGGTGGCTGGCTCCTGTGATCCCAGCACTATGGGTGGCTGAGGAGGGAGGATCACTTGAGGTCAGGAGGTTGGGCCTGCAGTGAGCCAAGATTGCACCACTGCTCTCCAGCCTGGGGGACAGAGCAAGACCTTGTTTGTCAATTAAACTTTTCCGTGGTCTCCGTGAATTGGTTTTGACTATGCAGTGGGTGGGAATAACCCATTGGCTGGTTACAGTAAAAATATCTTAAATCAGCCAGGCACAGTGGCTCACACCTGTAATCCCAGCACTTTGGGAGTCTGAGGCGGGCGTATCGCTTGAGGTCAGGAGTTCAAGACCAGCCTGGTCAACATGGTGAAACCCTGTCTCTACTAAAAATACAAAAATTAGCCAGGTGTGGTGGTACACGCCTGTAATCCCAGCTACTCGGGAGGCTGAGGCAAGAGAATCACTTGTACCCGGGAGGCAGAGGTTGCAGTAAGCCGAGATCATGCCACTGTACTCCAGCCCTCCAGTCTGGGTGATAGAGTGAGACTCTGTCTCAAAAAAAAATATATATATATATATATATGTGTGTGTGTGTGTGTGTATATATATGTATATATAATCTATGCAGAAAAGATAACATTAGGAAAATCTGGTGGATTAGTCCATTCTCATGCTGCTAATAAAGACATACCTGAGACTGGCTAATTTATAAAGGAAAGTGGTTTAACTGACTCAGTTCAGCATGGCTGAGGAGGCCTCAGAAAATTTACAATCATGGCGGAAGGCGAAGGGGAAGCAAGACACCTTCTTTACAAGGCGGCAGGAAGGAGATGTGCAAGCAGGGGAAATGCCAGAAGCTTATAAAACCATCAGATCTCATGAGACTCACTTATTATCACGAGAACAGCATGGGGGGAACCGCCCCCATGACTCATTACCTTCATCTGGTCCCGCCCTTAACACGTGGGGATTACAATTCAAGATGAGATTTTGGGTGGCGACACAGCCAAACAATATCTTCTGGCTAGGTATTTATGGAGGAAAAAATCTCAATAAAACTGAATTACCCATCTCACTCTGAACCCACAAATAAATTACAAAGGGATGAGAGATTTAAAAAAAAAAAAAAACTAGGACTCTCTCTGTCATCCGGGCTGGAGTGCAGTGGCACGATTATGGCTCACTGCAGCCTCAAGCTCCCGGGCTCAAGCGATCCTCCTGGACTCAAGTGATCCTCCTGCCTCAGCCCCGCAAAGTATTTGGGACTCCAGGTACAGGCCACCTCACCCAGCTAATTTTTGTATTTTCTGTAGAAATGAGGTTTCACCATGTTGCCAGGCTGGTCTTGAACTTCTGAGCTCAAATGATCCACCCGTGTCAGCCTCCCAAAGTGCTGGGATTACTAGTGTGAGCCACCGCACCCAGCCTTAGAGATTTAAATGTGTACAAGATAACCGTAAAACAGATCAAAGTTTTTATAATTTTGTAGTGGCTAAAAGCCTTTTAAAAAAAAAAAAAAGTCTAACTCTGTTGCCCAGGCTAGAGTGCAGTGGTGTGATCTCAGCTCACTGCAACCTCTGCCTCCCGGGTTCAAGTGATTCTCCTGCCTCAGCCTCCCAAGTAGCTAGGACTACAGGTACCCACCACCACACCCAACTAATTTTTGTATTTTTAGTAGAGATGGGGTTTCACCATGTTGGCCAGGCTGGTCTCAAACTCCTGACCTCAAGTGATCCACCCGCCTCGGCATCCCAAAGTGCTAGGATTATAGGCATGAGCCACTGCTCCCAGCTGGCTAACAGCCTTTCTGAGCAATCCCCAAATTCAGAAGACATACAATCACAGACTGATCAACATGACTGCCTAGACATTAGAAATTTCTAAATAGCAGAATGAATTTTTTGTTTGTTTGTTTTTGGAAACAGGGTCTCACTCTTGTTGCCCAGGCTGGAATGCAGTTCACAGATCACTGCAGCTTCAACCTCCTGGGCTCAAGCAATCCTCCCACCTCAGCTTCCCTAGTAGCTGGAACTATAGGCACGCACCACCACACTCAGCTAATTTTTGTATTTTTTTGTAGAGATAAGGTTTTGCCGTGTATCCCAGGCTGGTCTCAAACTCCCAAGCTTAAGCAATCCTCCTGCCTCAGCCTTCCAAGTGGTGGGATTACAGGCATGAGCCACAGCACTTGGCCAAAAATTATAATATTATGAAACATCAATATCAAAGTGAGAAAAGTATTTGAAATATACAAAACAATGGGCTAATCTCCTTTATACACTAAAATTCTAACAAATCATTTTGAAAAAGACCACAACCTAACATATAACTGAACAAATATAAAATAAATATATAACTTATCATGTATTCCTTTCATATTCTTAAATGCTGAAAAGGTTGATAATACTTAGTACAGTCAAGTATGTGGAAAAAACACCAAAGAAGTTATAAACTATTTACAGCATTTTGGGGAGGAACAATTAGTTAATATATATCAAATTTTACATTGCAAATACCGTTTAACAAAGCAATGACCTTTCTAGGATTTTACCCTACACCTTTAACACATCAATAAGAAAAGACAGCCCAACAGTATGAATAAAATACTCATAGCAACAGAAATGTTAGAGGCCTAGAAACACAAAAAGATTATAAACCTCACTAAAATTCACATATATGCTCATTAAACAATAAGATACTGTCTTTTATCCATAAGAGTCACTGCTGATGAAGAGTATTAGAAATTAAATACTCTCATATAAAGGATTATTGATACATAATTTGACTGTACCTATTACAGGTATTTGTTTCTTACTTTAACCAGCAGTTGCATTTACAGGACCCTATCCTAGTGAAATATTTATGTGTACATAAGGATGTCCAAGGCAGTCCTATTCATATTAGCAAAAAGTAGAAGAAAGCCCTAAAAGGCCTGGCACACTGGCTCACGCCTGTAATCTCAGCACTTCGGGAGACCAAGGCAGATGGATCGCTTGAGCTCAGGAGTTTGAGACCAGCCTGGGCAACAT